TATGATTACAGTTTTTTATTTATAGCTATTGTTTTCTATGTTATCTCAATATAAGCATTTTACATAAATTCAGTCTTCTGGCAAAGCAGCCTTTTAGTAATACCAAAATATTATTTTTAAAAAAAGTATCATTTTTCTAATTTATTTTTATGACTATAGGTTTTTTTAAAGATATTGCTTTCTATGCAAAAAAAAAAAAAAAAAAAAACGTTATCGCTCTAATTGGTTAAGTATTTTACATAATAATTTCTTGAATAAACTGCCAGTCTTTCTACATAACAGTCCGGTTATACTTAATACCATAAAAAAAAAATGCAAAAAACTCAAAACACTTTATTATTTTTTTTTTAATTAGCCCTTTTCTGTATAATTACAGTTTTTTTTTATAGCTATTGTTTTTTTCTATGTTTTCTCAATATAAGCACTTTACATAAATTCAGTCTTCTGGCAAAGCAGCCTTTTAGTAATACCAAAATATTATTTTTTAAAAAAGTATCATTTTTCTAATTTATTTTTATGACTATAGGTTTTTTTAAAGATATTGCTTTCTATGCAAAAAAAAAAAAAAAAAAAAAAAACGTTATCGCTCTAATTGGTTAAGTATTTTACATAATAATTTCTTGAGTAAACTGCCAGTCTTTCCTGCATAACAGTCCGGTTATACTTAATACCATAAAAAAAAAAAAAACTCAAAACACTTTATTATTTTATTTTTAATTAGACCTTTTCTGTATGATTACAGTTTTTTTTTTATAGCTATTGTTTTCTATGCTTTCTCAATATAAGCATTTTACATAAATTCAGTTTTCTGGCAAAGCAGCCTTTTAGTAATACCAAAATATTATTTTTAAAAAAAATATACTTTTTCTAATTTATTTTTATGACTATAGGTTTTTTTAAAGATATTGCTTTCTATGCAAAAAAAAAAAAAAAAAAACGTTATCGCATAATTGGTTAAGTATTTTACATAATAATCTCTTGAGTAAACTGCCAGTCTCCCTGCATAACAGTCCGGTTATACTTAATACCATAAAAAAAAAAAAAAAAACTCAAAACACTTTATTATTTTTTTTTTAATTAGACCTTTTCTGTATAATTACAGTTTTTTTTTTTTTTATAGCTATTGTTTTCTATGTTTTCTCAATATAAGTATGTTACATAAATTCAGTTTTCTGGCATAACAGCCTTTTAGTAATATCAAAATATTATTATTAAAATTTTTTTATAATTTTTCTAATTTATTTTTATGACTATAAGGTTTTTTAAAGATATTGCTTTCTATGCAAAAAAAAAAAATGATGTTATCGCTATAATTGGTTAAGCATTTTACATAATAATTTTTTGTGCAAACCACGTACTATATATCAGTCCAATCTGTAAGTTTAATAAAACTTTTTTTTTGTATTTGCTTAATATAAATAAATAAATGTTAAATAAAGAAAATGTGTGTGATAAGAGCGGCTCCTTTGAAGTCGGCACTTGGAAAAAAAAAAAAAAATCTGTACTTCCCTAAAAGATAGTCTGGTGGAGATAAAGCCTAATTCTTTCTGCTTCGTTCACTCCCTTTAGAGGGCCCCACGACGAATATATTCCTGACATGTCAGTATATGTGGCAACAGTACAGTGAAGGAAATGCATATTTGCTCCCCGGCTGATGGTGAATGTTTGCCCCTCACACAGAAATGATCGGTCTAACAATGGAATGTTTGCCCCTCACACAGAAATGATCGGTCTAACAATGGAATGTTCGCCCCTCACACAGAAATGATCGGTCTAACAATGGAATGTTCGCCCCTCACACAGAAATGATCGGTCTAACAATGGAATGTTCGTCCCTCACACAGAAATGATCGGTCTAAACATGGAATGTTCGGTGTAACACTGAGAGACAGAATACAACAACAAATTCAGCAGAAATGCGTCTAACAAATGATGACGGATCTGCATGTTCATGAGGGAAAGAAGGATTTGATCCCCTTCACAAAACATGACTTAGTACTTGGTGGCCAATCCCTTGTTGGCAGTCACAGAGGTCAGACGTTTCCTGGAGTTGGCCCCCAGGTTCGCACACATTTCAGGGGAGTTTGGCCCACTCCTCTTGGCAGATCCTCTCCAAGTCATTAAGGTTTGGTGGCTGACGTTTGGCAACTCGAACTTTCAGCTCCCTCCACAGATTTTCATCGGATGAAGGTCTGGAGACTGGCTAGGCCACTCCAGGTCCTTAATGTGCTTCTTCTTGAGCCGCTCCTTTGTTGCCTTGGCCGTGTGTTTTGGGTCATTGTCATACTGGAACACCCATCCATCACCCATTTTCAATGCCCTGGCTGAGGGAAGAAGGTTCTCACCCAAGATTTGAGGGTACATTGCCCTGTCCATTGTCCCTTTGATGTGGTGCAGTTGTCCTGTCCCCTTAGCAGAAAAACACCCCCAAAGCAGAATGTTTCCACCACCATGTTTCACAGTTGGGATGGTGTTCTTGGGGTCATAGGCAGCATTCCTCCTCCTCCAAACACGGCGAGTTGAGTTGATGCCAAAGAGTTGGATTTTGGTCTCCTCTGACCACAACACTTCCCACCAGTCCTCCTCTGCATCATTCAGATGTTCAGTGGCAGACTTCAGACGGGCCTGGACATGGGCTTTCTTGAGCAGAGGGACCTTGCGGGCACTGCAGGATTTCAGTCCTTGTCGGCGTAGTGTGTTACCAATTGTTTTCTTGGTGACTGTGGTCCCAGCTGCCTGGAGATCATTGACAAGATCCTCACGTGTAGTTCTGGGATGATTCCTCACTGTTCTCATGATCATTGACACTCCACGAGGTGAGATCTTGCATGGTGCACCAGACCTAGGGAGACTGACACTTGTTTTGTGTTTCTTCCATTTGTGAATGATTGCACCAACTGTTGTCACCTTCTCACCAAGCTGCTTGGCCATAGTTTGGTAGCCCAGTCCAGCCTTGTGTAGGTCTACCATCTTGTCCCTGACATCCTTGGACAGCTCTTTGGTCTTTGCTATGGTGGAGAGTTTGGAATCTGATGGTTTGATTGCTCCTGTGGACAGGTGTCTTTTATACAGGTAACACAATGAGATTAGCAGCACTCCCTTTAAGAGACTGCTTCTAATCTCAGCTTGTTACCTGTATGAAAGACACCTGGGAGCCAGAAATCCTGCTGAATGATAGGGGATCAAATCCTTCTTTCCCTCATGAACATGCAGATCAGTCATCATTTGTTAGACGCATTTCTGCTGAATTTGTTGTTGTATTCTGTCTCTCAGTGTTACACCGAACATTCCATTGTTAGACCGATCATTTCTGTGTGAGGGGCGAACATTCCATTGTTTAGACCGATCATTTCTGTGTGAGGGGCGAACATTCCATTGTTAGATTTCCTGCACTGTATCATTATCTGTGTGATATATAATACTGCATGTTGAACATTCCATTGTTAGACTGATCATTTCTGTAAAAATATATTTTCGAACATTCCATTGTTTTTAGACCGATCATTTCTGTGTGAGGGCGAACATTCAGCATCAAATATATGCAGGGGAGCAAATATTTTCTTTCCTTCACTAATATATATACACTGCATGTTGAAATGCGTTTTTTTATATATTACAAAATATATTGAAAAACATTTTTAAAAATATATATTTTTAACATATATTCTACAGATTTTTTTTTTAACATAAAAAAACATATTTAAAAATATTATTGAAATATATTGAATATGGCCAAAATTTTGTAGCATTTCAAATATATGTCTATATATTTGGGAAGAATATTTTCTTCCCAAATACATTGACATATATATTGAAATGCTACAAAATTTTGGCCATATTCAATATATTTCAAAATATATTGTGTTTTGGACGTATTCAATATATATATATATATATATATACATTTCAACATGCAATATATAAAAAAAAAAATTGTATTTCAAATATAGAATATATTTGGGAAGAATATTTTCTTCCCAAATACATCAACAAATATTTGAAACACTACAATTTTGGCTGTATTCAATATATTTCAAAAATTATATATATAATATAAATATATTATATATATATATATATATATATAAATGTATTTTTAAAAATATTTTTTATTTTTTCATATATTTTGTAATAAAAACACATTTCAACATGCAGTATATAAGTATATATATATATATATATATATATTTATTTATTTTATATATACATATTTATATTATATACATATATATATATATATATATATATGTGTGTGTATATATATATATAAATATATATATTATTATACAGTATTTTATATAGCGCCAACAGTTCGTTCAGCGCAGTACAATATAATGGGAGACAATACATGAGACAGTTCAGTAACAATACAATGCGATACACGAGGGGTTCGAGGGCCTGCTCCTTGGAGCTTACAATCTAGGAGGGAGGGGATGGTGGCACAGGAGGAAATAGCTGTGGGGGATGGAGTGGTAGGAAGAGTGGAGGAGTTCAGTAATTAGCTGAGGGCGGGGTAGGCTTCCCTGAAGAGATGGGTTTTCAGGGTGTGCCTAAAGGTGAGGAGGGTAAGTGACAGTCTGATGGATTGGGGTAGGGAGTTCCAGAGAATGGGGGAAGCCCTGGAGAAGTCCTGGAGGCGGGCATGGGAGGAGGAGACCAGGGAGCTGGAGAGTAGGAGGTCTTGTGAGGAGCAGAGAATACGTTTTGGGTGGTAGATGGATATCAGGTCAGTGATGTAACTTGGGGCATTGTTATGAACAGCTTTATAAGTCAGTGTTAGCATTTTGAATTTTATCTGTTGGGCAACTGGGAGCCAGTGGAGGGATTGGCAGAGAGGGGTGGAGGACACTGAGTGGAGGCCAGTGGGGGGATTGGCAGAGGGGTGGGGATGGAGGCCAGTGGAGGGATTGGCAGGGAGGGAGTGGAGGGACACTGAGTGGAGGCCAGTGGAGGGATTGGCAGAGAGGGGTGGAGGACACTGAGCGGAGGCCAGTGGAGGGATTGGCAGAGAGGGGTGGAGGACACTGAGTGTGGAGGGGATTGGCAGGCTAGTGGAGGGATTGGCAGAGAGGGGTGGAGGAGAGAGGGGTGGAGGAACAGTGGACAGATTGGTCAGAGAGGGGGTGAGTGGGAGCCAGTGGAGGGATTGGCAGAGGGGGATGGAGGACACTGAGTGGAGGCCAGTGGAGAGATTGGCAGAGAGTGATTGGCAGAGGGGGATGGAGGACACGGAGTAGGAGTCAGTGGACGGATTGGCAGAGGGGGATGGAGGACACTGAGTGGGAGCCAGTGGAGGGATTGGCAGAGAGGGGGGATGGAGGACACTGAGTGGAGGCCAGTGGAGAGATTGGCAGAGAGTGATTGGCAGAGGGGGGTGGTGGATACGGAGCGGATATATTGAAATATATAGCATAAGGCCAAAATTGTAGCATTTCAAATATGTCGATATATTTAAGGATGAATGTATTTCACATATATTTTTCTTCCATGTGGGGTGATCTATAAAAAGGGAATCACTTCGGCCAAACAGATAGCGAGTTATACGAATCATAGTTTTTTTGTGCAATTAACCTTTCCCCAACCACAACCCAGGGGCTTGGCCTGGGTTGTTTGTCTTCCTTGGTGAGCGCAGCTATCAGTAAAGAAAACTTATACTTCTCTCGAATTCTCGATTAAAATACACTGCGGACAAGTTGCACAACATTCTGTGACATTGTATAGAAAACAAAGAACGGGTTCCACGGGAGGGGTGCAATGTGAGTCCTGGACGGGAGCCATGAGATTAACCAACCAATGGGCTCCAATGGGCTTATCAGCTGAATAAAGCAACATTCTTTCTTTTTACTCTTCTTTTATTAAAGATAAATTCTAGGTATGTGAGTGTTTTTTTTGTTTTTTGTGTTGGTTTTTTTTTCGGTATGTAGCCGGCCCCTGTGGAAGCTGCCCTGCTGCATAATATCTAAAGGGGGTTTCCTGCTCGGCACAATTCGGAAAACGACTTTTAATTTTTCTGAAGAAAATAACTTAATCACTGATTGGACAAGGTAGAGGTAGCGGTGTGATAACCCCACCCCCCCACCTCATCCCATCATTGAGAAGATGCAAAGCTCTCTCGGGACATGGGCGGACTGGCAACTCATGGGGTGCCCGAGCAATAGGGGTTCGTGGGATCCCCTGTGTCCTCGCCCACATTCGAACCACACCCAAAAAAGCCTATGAAAGGTACCAGGGGCATCTCATGGGGTCCTCCTACTGACCTCGGGCAGTGCCCTAGCGCCAGAATGGTCAGTCTGCCCTGCTCGGGTATGGCACCCATGCCAGGGGAGTGACCTCCTCTATGTAGCAGAGAGCAACCGCTTGGCTCAGGACCTGTAAGACAACGAGGATCGCTCTAGTAGCAGCAGATGCAGCACTGAGCCTCAGCCTCCAACAAAAGCGAGTCCACCCCTAAGTGACAAGGTCCAGATTGGGCCCAAAGTGTCAATATTTTGTGTGGCCGCCATTGTTTTCCAGCACTGCCTTAACCCTCTTGGGCATGGAGGTCACCAGAGCTTCACAGGTTGCCTTCCACTCCTCTTCCTCTTCCACTCCCCCATGACGACATCACGGAGCTAATGGATGTTAGAGGATGCATTGTGTAAAAAGGCTGTTTGATCCTGTCTTCTCTGTCCCACCAACTGTTGCAATGACCACCTCATACAGACTGAACCTTCTGCACATGGTCAGTTTGGTGTGTATTGCTAGAGAGGTTTTTTTTCTTGGGAGAGTGCATGAGATTAGCACATTGCCAATCAGCACTGTCCAGAGGTCAGGGGTTCTGCATCCTCCTTCAGCAGAAAGAAAACTCCTCCTACAAGCTTTAGCTAGTGGTGGGCTGGACACTTATAGAAGTCACAAGACTGCCATATACAGCTGATGAGAAAAGGAATTTAGCAGTTTATATTTACTAAAATCATTGCATTTCCATGTTCTGTGTACTGTGGGAGACCAGATATAGTGAATGCGGGGTCCGGGGAGAGCGGATATAGTGAATGCGGGGTCCGGGGAGAGCGGATATAGTGAATGCGGGGTCCGGGGAGAGCGGATATAGTGAATGCAGGGTCCGGAGAGAGCGGATATAGTGAATGCGGGGTCCGGAGAGAGCGGATATAGTGAATGCGGGGTCCTGGGAGAGCGGGATATAGTGAATGCGGGGTCCGGGGAGAGAGGATATAGTGAATGCGGGGTCTGGGGGAGAGCGGATATAGTGAATGCGGGGTCCGGGGAGAGTGGATATAGTGAATGCGGGGTCCAGGGAGAGCCGGATATAGTGAATGCGGGGTCCGGGGAGAGCAGATATAGTGAATGCGGGGTCCGGGGTGAGGGGAGGGATATAGTGAATGCGGGGTCCGGGGAGAGCGGATATAGTGAATGCGGGGTCCGGGGAGAGCGGATATAGTGAATGCAGGGTCCGGGGAGAGCGGATATAGTGAATGCGGGGTCCGGGGGGAGAGCAGATATAGTGAATGCGGGGTCTGGGGAGAGCGGATATAGTGAATACGGGGTCCGGGCAGAGCGGATATAGTGAATGTGGGTTCCGGGGAGACCGGATATAGTGAATGCGGGGTTCGGGGAGAGCGGATATAGTGAATGCGGGGTCCGGAGAGAGCGGATATAGTGAATGCGGGGTCCAGGGAGAGCGGATATAGTGAATGCGGGGTCTGGGGGAGAGCGGATATAGTGAATGCGGGGTCCGAGGAGAGTGGATATGGTGAATGCGGGGTCCGGGGAGAGCGGATATAGTGAATTCGGGGTCCAGGGAGAACGGATATAGTGAATGCGGGGTCCATTGAGAGCGGATATAGAGAATGCGGGGTCAAGGGGAGACCAGATATAGTGAATGCAGGATCCTGGGTTTAGTAACACTTTAAAGATATGGTTTGTCCAGTTTGGACCAGTTTGGACCAGCTCAGTAGAGACATGGTTTGATGAGTTTGGACCAGCTGCATAAAGACATAGTTTGGCCATTTTTGTGTGAGGAACTCGAGTGTCCTCCATAGAGCCCTGACCTCAACCGTGAACTATTTTTGAAATGAGTTGGAATGTAAGGTGCAAGCCAAGTCTTCTAGTCCACCATCACTACCTGACCTCACAAATGCTCTTTTGGCTGAATTTGCCCAAATTCCCACAGAGACTCCAAAATCTTGTGGCAAGCCTTCACAGAAGAAGGGAAGTGTTTCAGCCACTGGGAGGTGGGGCAACTCCTAATTAATGGCCATGGTTTTGGCATGACCAACAAGCACATCTAGGTGCGATGATCAGGTGTATCGTCATATCAGAGTAGTGAAACGCGGCTTTTGGCTTTGCAATGTCTATGGTACAAAGGTCTCATAGAATTCCAGCAATGATACAGGAAGCCTTTGAGTAATTCAAAGCTGGGTTAATATCACTGAAATAAACATTTGGGTGTCCAAATATTGAAACCGAGCATCCTGAGGATCGTTGCTGATCTTCGATCATTAGTGGTTTAGGAAACAGAGATGATCAGCGGAGAACATGTTCTCCGCTGATCATCTCAGCACACAGATGGCCAATGTATGAAGGAGCGATGTCAGCCCTTCACTGGAAATCTGTGTTCTCCCTCCAGATTCTCCAGCCCAGAGGTGGAGAATCTGGGGAACCGCAAACGAAGCAGTGGTAATTTACGCTGCTTAGTATACGGTGTTTGACTTGGTCTACACAGCTTCATAAAAAGGCCTTCAGAGGAGAACTCTCTCCTCTGAGAATGCTGGAGAACTGAGCACCGGTCATTTACCACTGCATGATAAAAGGACACCTTGATCAGATATCACACCAATATTCTCCATTTTACCTCGACTATCCTGGTATAGCAGTTGTGTAGTGTATTTACATTGGACTGTGCAGTCAAATAGGCAGCAGAGTTTGACCACTCTGTCCTGTGCACCACCAAGTCAACTGGTTGGATGTGCTCCCTTAGGACAGACACATGCACTCTTTTTTCCTAGCAAGAGTTTATTTATCTATGGCAGCATAGAGCACTGGTATCACGTACCTGGTGACAGAGGCCAATGGAGAGAGGGCTTCCCTTGCGGCTAAGTTCCAGACTCCCCTGAAGGTGGGACAGCAGGAGTCAGGCCCAGAGTAGCACAGGTCGCCTGTGGGAGTGCTTGTTTGGTGGTCCACCCAGGAGCACGGCTGATGCGCTGAGATGGGTCTGCAGGCAGGGGGCGCCTGTGCGAGGTATGCAGGTCTTCCAGAGAACAGAGGATAACAGGATAACCAGTTCGAGCCAATGTCGGGTGCCAGGTGGGGATCGGAGCAGATGTAGTCAAAAGGGATACCTGAGGTCATACACAGAGAGCAGGAGAGAAGATCCATTAGACAAGCCGGGGTTAGGTCAGGGTTAAACAGAGCAGACAGATCCAGGAGCAAGCCGAGTCGTTAACAGGAAATGGCAAGTCAGGATAGCAAGGGAACGAAGGTACTAGGGAGCCAGAGATCAACCAGCACCTGAGAGTAGTGCAGGGCTTCCTTATAAAGGCCGTTTGGCACCAAATTTGAGCTGAAGTAAACTTCTATGGCCATGCAAGGTACTGGCAGGGGTACCAGGTCTCCTAACACCTCTGCTGAGGACAGAGCCCTGACAACTGGAGTGGAAGTACATGACAGTAGGATGTGTCCCTTGTGCTGATGCTTCTTCTTTTAGTTGAAGACCTCCTCTGTCCATGAGTCCTCATTTCTGTACTCTTTCAGTGCAGTGGGGGTTGATACAACTAAGATGTTGCCAAACGTTCTCATCAAGGGAGCCTGACTTGGCCCTCAAAAACTGAGGTCCACACATCCAACACTTGGTAAGTATATGTTGCAAATGAACTACTATAAGTAACTCCAATGCTCTGTGTTCTGTTTTCAGGATCTTGCTTGGCTGCTCCACTGGGCAAGGAGTTTGTCACGGCCTTCATGCAGAACTATCAGCTCTCCTACAGCAAAGCCAACTTCCAGTTGTTCATTACCGCCTATTCCTCCCCCACTATTGTAACCGTATGGATGAACAAATCCAGTTTCAAAGAAGTCCTGACGGTTTACCAAGGAACCACGGCCACGGTCCAAGTCCCAGCCAGTGCCGAGTTGCCTGGAGTCAGTATGTCATGCAATGTTATCGGCATCAAGTCTGATAAAGATATCTCAGTCCTGGCCATGAATTACAAGCTCCAGAGCGCTGACACCACCATTGTGTACCCTGTGCAATCTCTCGGCACGGACTACTATGCAGTGACACCCTTGGACGGGCCTAGTGATGGATATAAGCAACTTTCTGTGATCAGCAACCAGGAATCCACCAGTGTTGATATCTACCTCAAAGGAGGTGTCACCTATCAAG